GCAACTTCGGCGGTGGCGGCGGCATCGCCGGGCTCTGGAAACGCGGGCGGCGAAGCGCGGGGCTCTCTGGAGGCGAGAGCGGCGAGTTACCTTTGGTGCTGTTCTCCTTGAGCTGGGAAGAAGGCAGGCTGGCCGGGGAGCGCAGAGCCGAGCAGCCCACCTCCACGTCGCTGTTCATTTCTGCCTCTTGAGCCACTTCGGGATAAAGGCTGATTTTCTTCCTGCTTTCCGACGGCGGGATTTCGGACGAGACGGTGCTTTCGCCGCTCGGATGCTGCAGGTTGAACAAAGTGTCTATTTCGAATTTGCCTTTCGCGGAGATGTCCCCTATTGCGCCGTGCAGGGAGGAGGAAGTTAGTCTCGGGCTGAGGCGACCACTGTGCTGCGAATTTTCGAGGGCCTCCAGCACCGCGTTTCCAGCTGAGTCTGACAAATTCGAGAGCCTTTTGCCAGCCGTAGGGCTGTGCAGCCCTCTCTCCATCAGGATCATCTCTTTTCTTATTCTTTCCATCATCTCAGCTTTATAAAAAATGTCAAAGTTGCAGGGCTGGTCCTGTACTAATGATGAGCTGCGGCAGGGGCTAATTCACATTCACCCCGGAGAGTGTCTCTAAATATTATTATCTCTTTTTGAGGGAGGCGTAAAAACTGTGGGATGCCAAAGCGAGGGAATGACTGGTCAAAATGACCCATACATCCTTTCTAGCCCGAAATGTCATTCATCAAAAAGTAGCGCTCGTCATTAAGGTACGAATGACGCTGTTCGAATAATCATTTATTGTAACAGGTTTATAAGCAAATAAATACAAGCTCCTGTCAGTGGATAATGAAGGCGGCTTCTGAGCAGACAAATATATCCAGGTGGAAAGAAAGAGAGACGAGAAGTGAGGAGCAAAGCTCTTGTCCTCAGCTTGATCAGATCCTGCTTGAATCGCTCTGGGGTTTGGCCTCTGGGGTGAAATTGACAGTCTGATTAATAAAATGAGCTGTGCAACATTTCCCCCTTCATTTAGGTGCATCATTATGCTCTGATTTTTGTTTTGTTGCCTTTTAGGTCCTAATGATGCAGCTTCTTTCTCATTTGTCCTCGGACAGAACCACACGCTAAATGTTAGATAATGCTTTTCTTTATTATTAGCTCGGAGGCGGATTAGATCGGAGCCGCCGGTAGAAGAGCGGCGGGGAGAGCATCTCTGCCGCTGACACCTCGTTACTTTTCCCTCCCATTTTCCGACCGCATTCGTACTTTTATCCCGGGATTTCGGCGGCACCCCCTCGCACCCCTCACACCCCGAGCCCTGCGCTGGGACCTGACGTGCCCGCTGCTGCCGACACACCGCGCTTCAGGCGCACCTCCAGCAACCGCCCGCAAATTGAAATAGCAATTAGCGGCCCTCATTTCTAATAGATCTCTTCGTTGCGTCCTTACATGCAGTATTCTTTCTGCTTCCCGTAACCCTGTTTACCGACGAAGCTGCCCTGTGGGACAACGCTCGCTCTGATAGCGGGCAAAAGAGCTCGAAGGGTACGAAACGCAGCCGTGCGGCCAGCGGGTTCTCTATCCAGCCCTTCTTCCCTCCCAACCTCCCATTTAAGAGCATTATTATGACAAATAACAGAATGACCGATGTGCGGCCATTGTCCCCGACAGGGACTGACCCCCCCCTCCCCTCCCCCTGAATTACCTGTGGCTCCGTAAGCTCATCGCTCCGCTCCGTGCCGCTGCGGGGCTACGGGCTGCCACGCTCCGCACCCGCGGCGTTCGGGAAGTGGCCCTTCAGACCTAACTTTGCCCGTAATAATGACGCTGATGGCGACCATTTAAGCGAAGATAGATCCTTTGTCGTTAGCATCTCCGGAGCGCTCCCCGATAGCTGCCCGGCCTTTATCCTCGCCGTGATTTCCACCCCCCCCGCATCATCCCGTGGTCAGAGCCCAAGAACCCGAGGGTTTGGAGACCCAACGCGGGTCGGATTTTTGCAAGCAGCGCTCTCCCGCTAATGTCGGTCACACACATCTCCTAAGTTCTGGTGCTCTTGCGCATGATTCATAGCTCGAAAATGGGATACTTGTCAGATTTTTTTTTTTTTAAATAACGTGTGAAAGTCTCACTAAACATTCCGTGAAATATTTAGGAAACATTCTAGGCGTTGTTTGAAAAATCCACCCTTCCATTAATGATCGTTTCATGTCAACCCTTTGATATGTGAATTTCTCCTGCACTGTGGTGTCCTGCGTTTTACAGCCCCAAAACCAGACTAAAGTCAATAGCGACTTTTCCTCGCCCGCGGGTCTTTGCGGCGGGCACAGGGCCGGGCGGACACCGGGGCGCTGCGGTGGGACGGGGCTGCGCTCAGCGGGGGGAGAGAGAGGGACGGATGTACTGGCGGTACCGCGAGCCGGAACCCCGCAGCCGCCCTCACTGCCCGGCGGAGGGGGAGCTGGAGGTGGAGAGGAAGCGTGCGGCGGGTTTATTGCTGTCGTTTGGCGCCCTCGTCTGTTTTCTTAAACGCGGTGACGGAGCTAGCGTCTGCCCCGGCCTTCGGGGACGCCGCCGCGGGGCTGCCGAGCCCCGACGGATGCGGGCTGCGCCCCGAACGCGGCACCACGCGGGGACGGACTGCAGTGCGGCCGGCAGGAGGAAACGGGCGGGAGCGGCCGTGCGGGGAGTGCTGGTCGGCGTCCGTTTCATTTGGAACCTGTTAAATAATTCCGGTTCCTCGTTTACGTGCAGTGCACTTTAAATTATATCTACTTTCATATGCAGGGAACACAACGCGTCCTAATAATCTCTCGCTAAGAATCTGAGCGACGAAACCCTGCTCCCGTGCAGTCAGTGACTTACATCGGCAACCCATCAACAAACCGCCCATCTGAGATAGACACTCCCAGCACACCGGGCGCATTTACCGCACTGATGTTTCCCTTTCTCTATTTCTCCCTCCCCTCCTCCCCTCCCCCCCCCCCCCCCCCAAAAAAAAAAAAGCACAACCTAAGGAGCCTCCTGCTTCACACAGATATTAACGGGCAAACGAGGAGGAAGTTTCAGAGAGCGGCAAAACAGACGAAGTTTACTCAGTTGTTCCTATGAGTTTAAAAAGCTGCTCAGGCCCGGGGCCAAACTTTTTATTTTTACCTTGAAAGTTATTACCCCAGGCATCAAAGAATATTTTCAGTACACTTTTATTAAATCTTAGCCTGGGAGAAAACATAAGGTCACTCCATTTAATTAGAACGCGGCTCGCAGCGAGACAGCCGCTCCCAGGGCCAAAGGAGAGCGGGGGCGCCGACTCTCCCTTCTGCCGCAGGGCTCCGCGGCCACGCGATATCTCCGCGCAGCGCAGAGCCGGGCCGCTCGGGGCTCTCGGAGCGCGGAGCCCCGCGCAGTGCCCGCGGCGGGCAGCGACGGGGGCGGCGTGCGCCATCTGGCGGCTCTGCGCTGCTTTGCGCGCGCGCTGCGCGGGGCGGAGGCTGCGCGCTGCCCTGGGCCGCTGCCGCCCGCATCGGTGCGCCCGGCGCTGCCCCCGCACGCCGGTCCACAGGGAAGGTCGGGGCGCTGCGAGGTGGTCGGTCCGTGCTTCGAAGCAGAAAGAGCTGCGGCGTGTCCCCGGGTCACACGGGGCCTTCGGCACGTCGCGCCCCGAGGCACAAGGGCTGCGGTCCGGAGGCGCCCGTTTTGCCGTGTTAATGGTGGTGCGATTGTTTGTGAGGCTGGCTCTGCAAACAGACGGACTTCCCTTTACCCGATAAAGCGGGCTCCGTCCGAAAAGCCGCTGGACAGGAGTTTATGTTCAGCCCGGAGAGCTTGTCCGGGCCGGGACACCGCGGTTCCCGCTGTGCTTCGGGGCACGCAAGGGTCGGAGAGGCTGCGCTCACCCGACAGACCGAGGGCAGAGCCCGAGAGAGTTCCGAAGGAACTTCTCCACCCTCAGAACTGATTATTTTTTAACGTTGAAATAAAGAAAGAGATGAGAATGCAGTAGAAAAATGAAATGAGTGTAACAAAAGAGATGAGTGTGCATAAAGAGATGAGAATACATAAAGAGATGAGGGTAACCAAGGAGATTAGGGTACTTAACTAGAAGAAGGTATATAAACAGATGGGAGTAAATACAGAGATGAGATGTTACGGCACAGGTTTGGAGATTAAAAGCCAGTTTGACAGTTTTCTCCCTGTTGCTGTTAAATCTTTTCATTCCAGTAAGTGCCTTGTTTTGAAGGACTGGGAAAACTAAAAGGCCGTCTGTTCGGCTTAGCTATGAAAAGTGCACAACGAGGCCGTGGGGAAAGTTTTGGAGTAAAACAAATAGATTGTTTACTCTTCGCTTGTTTTCTCCCTTTTTCCGGACTACGTAATGTATACAATATACAGAAAAGAGGGTATTTCTGCGGCAAACGTTTACCAGAGAAGCAACCTCGAAAGTCCCGGCTACCAAAGGAGACCGAGCAGACCCCTAGCTCCGTTAGATCATAGCAAAGGCATTTGAGGAAATGAGATAATTTCGGGAGGCGGGGGGGGGGGGGCGGGGGGGGAAGAAAGAAAGTGGGGAGATAGGAACATCGGGAAAGTGGGACTGACTCAGGTACTTTGCCCTCGGCTTCAAAAGGCTAGCGGAGAACCGAAGGTCCGAAGGCCCTTTTGAAGCCGCGGGCAGGCGGGCGGGCGGGGGGATGAAAGCGGTGGGGGCGAGGCCGGCCCGGAGGCGGGAGCGCGGCGTCGGGGGGGCCCCGTCGGTGCGAGCCGGGGGGCTGCGAGGCGGCGGGAAGGTCACATGCTTCGGCGGCAGCCTATGAGCAGCCCCCCGGGCTGAGGCAAACTAATCTGGGGCCGGCCGCCCCCACCCCCTCTTCCCCCCCCCTCGACCCGGACTTGCTTTTTATAAACGTACCGCCAGGATCCAACCTGTTGGAGGCAAATAACAATTTTGCGCCATGCCCGGCCGGGGACCGCGCCGCCGCCCGCGATGTGCAAGGCCATGAGCAAAGAAGCGAGCTGGGAGATGGAAGGACTGCGCGGCGACAACAGCGGCGGCGGCGGCGGCGGCGGCACCCCCGGGCAGTGCCGTAACTTTCTCTCCTCGCCCGTTTTCGGCGCGGCGCACACGGGCCGCGCGGCCGCCGCCGCCGCCGCCTCGGGGTTCACCTACGCCGGCGGAGGGGAGCGCTCGGGGGCGGCGGCGCGGCCCGACCCCCCGGCCAAGGACTGCCCGGGCTCCGGCGCGCCGCCCGCCGCCCCCGCGCTCGGCTACGGGTATCACTTTGGCAACGGATATTATAGCTGCAGGATGTCCCACGGGGTTGGGATCCAGCAGAACGCCCTGAAGTCTCCCCCCCATGCTTCCATTGGCGGCTTTCCCGTGGAAAAGTACATGGACGTCTCCAGTCTGACCAGCACGAGTGTCCCCGCCAATGAAGTCTCCACCAGGGCGAAGGAAGTGTCCTTCTACCAGGGCTATACAAACCCCTACCAGCACGTTCCTGGGTACATAGACATGGTCTCAACGTTTGGCTCTGGGGAACCGAGACACGAAACGTACATATCCATGGAGGGCTATCAGTCCTGGACTCTGGCTAATGGCTGGAACGGCCAGGTGTACTGTGCCAAAGATCAGACACAGAGCTCGCACTTCTGGAAATCGTCCTTTCCAGGTACGCGAGGGCGAGAACCGCTCCAAGCCGAGCCGCGCCCCCCGCGCCCTCCGCCGGCCGCCCCCCAGCCCTCCCCCGGAGCGGCCCGAGGCTCGGGGAGATCTCTCTTCCCCGGCCGCCCAGGAAGCCGCACCCCGAGGGGCACCCTGGCTGCGGTGCCTCGGGCTCCTTCTGCTTCTCCCGTCGCGCCTCGGTCTGTATTTCCGTTTGCGGGACGGCGGCGCGGAGGCTCCTCCGCTCCCCGGCAGCCCGCTGACCCGGCCCCAGAGCACTTAAGAGGCCGCGAGCAGCGGGGTACGCCGGCGCTAACCACATGCAAACAAAGCGGGCAGCGTGCAGCAAAGGGCCGTCTGTACGCTCTGCCAGCCCAGCCGCGCTGCTCGCAGTGATGACAGTCCGTCAGGCGCGGGGCTGCCCAACGTGCGGCTAATGGGGCAGTGTAAATAATAATAAACTGTAAACAAGCCGCCGTTATTTATTTGCCCGTGAAAAGCAGCGCCCGACAAGTATCAGCTACCCTTTAAACGCCTGTCATAAAATTCTAATTTTTCACGTCGTGTCTTTTCCGTAGGGGACGTTGCACTAAACCAGCCCGAGATGTGTGTCTACCGGCGCGGAAGGAAGAAGAGAGTGCCCTACACCAAGCTCCAGCTTAAGGAACTCGAGAACGAATACGCCATTAACAAGTTCATTAACAAGGACAAGAGGCGAAGGATATCCGCGGCCACGAACCTGTCCGAGCGCCAGGTCACCATTTGGTTTCAGAACAGGAGGGTGAAAGATAAGAAAATAGTTTCCAAACTGAAAGACAACGTTTCTTGATCGATTACTCGCGGACAGTGATGGATATATAAAATCCGTTTATGACCAGCTACGGACTTTTGGAAAGACTTGAAAATATATTTAATTTTTTTTTTCTTCTCCTTCCAGCGGTGGCGAAGTTTTGTGAATTGTTTTTTATTTCCGTGAAAGTCGGCGTTTTTCTCTCGATCGAAGGGGAGGGCCGACAAACCTTGACTTTATCGTTCTGTTTCTTCCTTTTTTAAAAAATAATATTAATATTAATTATATTTTCTATCCTTCCCTCTAGGCCAGTATAAACGAATTTAAATGTGTCGAACGGTTCCACTTATAACTTTCTTAAACGCTTAACTCTTTGGGGAGGGGACCTGTGATTTTTATCTCCAAACATCAGCCGGTGCCCAAAAGTGTCAGATTTGATTTGTTGTATCGTCGGAAAACTCGAGTAAGCGGCATTCCCGCAGTCACCGCTAGCAAAACCCACATCCCCGAAGTCCTCACGGGGCTCCGCGGATTTCGGAAGCAGCGGCTCCTGAAGGGAATTGTTTGCAGTGGGATCGCTATTTTTATTTTTTATTATTCGATTATACTGGCGGGCGATCTGCTGCCAGCTTTTCCTGGGGAACGGAGCGCGGCCCCAGCGCCTTTCGTTCGATCCGAAGGAGCCGCGATGCTCTCCGCAGCAGCGCCCGGGTGTCCCTTCCTGCCGCCCCGTCCCGTCCCGTCCCGTGTTGCGCACGGACCTCCGTGCGGACCCCGCGCTGAGCTTAAAGCACTTCCCGCTCCGAGAAGTGAAGTTCACCGCTAACTTTCAGTTTGCAAAACTAAACGGGTGTTAATGACAGAAGCAATAAATGATTCATTTCAAAAGATGCCATAATTTATGTAGGCCGAAAGGCCGGGACTCGGTTGGGGTTTTGTAATTTTAAACCTAGCGTGCATGTTATGCTATACACAGGGCGGTCAGCTTCTGGGAAAGAGAAGCGATGTCCTCCCTGTCCATGTGCCTCGTGTAATTATTAAATGGTGTGTGTTTCGATCTAGTATTATTTATTATAATATCCTATTGCTCTAAACGCTTTGATTTGCCGTGTACGTGGTAATACATACAGTCAGACTATTTCTCCATAAACCATTTTTATTTCCCTTTTCGTCTCCAAGTCTGCTTTCACGTTGTGCTGGAAGTACGGTCTGAGCTTCCCAGCCGTTAAAGATGTTGCCAAACTGTTTCTGAACCACCTTTAATAAAACGATTTCTTTTCGACATATCCGAAAAGAAGAGGAAATCGGCCTTCTTCCCGCAGCGGGGCGTTTCGTGGGCCGCAGCCCCACACGGGACATGCTCGGGTTCTTCCGCGAGGAGAGACAGAACAGTGGGGGACGTGGAGGACGAGGGAAAGCCGTACCCGAGAGGCCCTTTTCCGCTGAGGAAGGTTTTTGCGAGGAAGAAATGCTGCCGGGGAGAGCGGCCTCTCTCCCGTGCAGGCTGACGGCTCTGCCTACCCTGGGCCGGCCCCAGCGCCTTTGTTCGCCTTACCGAGGCTCTCCGGCTCCGATGGAGCCCCGCTGCCTCCCACCACCGGCCCGAACGGGGCCCCTATGGGCTCCGCGCCCGGCGGCAACCACCGGGGAGCCATCTCCCGCCTCCTCCGCCCTCTTCCTTCCCCTTTCTCTTCCGCTTGCACACTCGCGGACATTGAGAGGGCATTTTTTCTTTCCCCCCGTACCGGACCCCCCAAAATAACAATTCGGAACACTTAAGGATTTGTAGCTAGCAGTGTTTTCTGTTCGGTTCTGGGGGGGAAAAAGAAAAAAAAAAAAATTAAGAAGTTGAGGGGTTGGTGGCACATCGTGCCTGGAGGAGCCCTCTCTAATGCTGCAGCCTTGTTTTCTTTTCATGAAAAAAAAAAAAAATTCTCTACATTCTTCTTTTTCGGGCTCCTGACGTCTCCCCCGCAGCATCCCACCGGCCTCAGCGATGCTGCGGGAGCTCCGCACCGCTCGGGCCCGCAGGGCTGCGTCTTCCTGTGGCCTCAGCGTCGGGCTCCGCGGCACCGGGATTTCGAAGGCCAAGGCTGAAGCTCCCTTCGCGGGGCAGGAGAAAGCCCTGACTGGCCCGCAAATCTGGACCAGCTGCAAATGAGCCGCCCTCTCCTTTTCTAACGTTAGAAAGGAGCATTAAGAAAACAGCCGCCGGGATGCGGGCCACTGCTGCTTGCGGGGCGGAGCCGAACGCCGGCCTCTCGCCGCCGGTACCGGAGCCAGTGAGGGCTCGGTGTGCTCCTGGCCCGACACCACCGGGAGCCCGGTGCCTGACTCCGGACCACGCTCGACCCGGCTCCGCTGTCCACCGCACCCTGCCCGCGGCCGGAGGAGCTCCGAGCAAAGCCCTACGGCCAGCCGGACACATGGGCATCCTTGCGGAGGATAATGCGGACCTCGGCGGACCGGGTTGCGGATGCGCTGTTGAGCGGCGCTGCGCTGCAGGGCCGGCCCGGGCCCGGCATGGCTGAGGCAATCCTGCCATCTCCTGGACAAGGGCCGGCATAGGCGGCTTCCAGCTCTTGCCGGGCGCTGCTGAGCCGAAGCTGCGCGCTCATATGCGGAGCTGCCCGCGTCCTTCCGCCGCGGAAACGCGCGGGAGGGATTGCAGGGTGGTCAGCGAGGAGGGCGAGGCCGATCCAGTTGCCTGTTAAAAAATAAAAATAAAAAATAAAAAAAGAAAAAGAAAAAAGAGAGAGCGGAAAGGAGTGTGTGAAAGCAGAGCCCCGGGCCGCACGGTGACATTTCCTGTGCAGACACCGGCGGCGGACACCGCGGGAGCGGCTGTGGCTGCCAACAACGAGCCCGGGGCGGCCGTGTGCTGCGTGGAGCCGTGCCCGCATCGGGCTGTGCGCAGTGCTTTCCCTGCCGACCTCAGCACAAAGCTCGCTGCCCTCCCGCTCCTCGGAATTTTTCTTTCCATATTTCTCGCAGTATTAATTAGCGGTTACAGATGAGCATTAATTAGAAGCTCTGTTTTCTCTAACCTCGTAAAAGTTAGTTTGAAGTGTCACCTTTCCGGTAACGGGGAACTCACAGCCGTTCCTCGTGTTTATTGCGAGGGGGGAAAAAAAAAAAAGAAAAAAAAAGAAAAGAAAAAAAAAAAAAACGGTCTTTAAGCACAGTGCGCTCCTTCTGTTTTCCCAGAGCCGACGATTGGAGTCAGCTCTTTCGCAAAAGGCTATCATGAAAAGAAGCGGTCACCTCGGCTCGTGGGGAGAAAAAAGGCAGAAAACAAATAAGTTAATAAGAGGGAGATGCAATTGGCAGACATAACTCAAACAATAAAAATTAAGGGCAGCGGTCAGTAATATCCTCCAGCGACGCTTGTGTGGTCCGTGTGCTCAGGGGAGAGCAATCGTTTCAACATTTCTTCCAGGGCAATGAAATTACTGCAGAATTCACCCCAATTTCCCATTAGACAGAAAGATGAATTTGATTAGGAAAACGTCAAGTGGGGCAGCGCCTCTGATCTCGGCGTGGAAATAAAATCGAGTTTAAAACTATGATTAAGAACACAATAACACGGAAAATTAACCCTACCTGTTAACTGGGCTCAAGTTTTAATATCGAAGCCTCGAAGGTGACGACGTTCGGGAACTGAGGTTCGGCCCGAAGCCGGGGTCCGCTCGGACCCGAGGATCCATCCACTCGGGAAGGGCCGAGGTCAAGGGCCGAGGCTCCCGCAGCTGCCGCACAGCGCGGAGCCGCCTCGTAGCTCTCAGGGCTCCGGCCGCTGCCTGCCGGGCAGCTCCAGCCCTTGGCCTTGCAGTCTGCTGTTTTATGGGGATATCGCGTCTCTGGGTGAGACGCGGGGGCTCGGCTTGTCTCCGCAGGAAGCAGACTGTCTGCCACCCCGCGCGGTCTGGAAAGGACTCGAGCAGCCTCCCGCGAGGATGCGGTCGCATGGGTTTGGTTCGTACCCCTGAGCGGGGAGTAAAGTGGGAGAGACAGAGGGACAGCCGTGCTCTGGTGCGAGCTTTCAAAAAATGTCATATATACGATGTAAAGATAATGATACATCCATACGCATACATGTATCTGTCTCACAATTCCTCTCTATGTATATCCATATCACCGTAAGGAATGATTATCTTCTTAGAGGACGAAACCTGCTCGGCTGCAGCTCGGGAGGTGGCAGCGGGCTCCGAGCCCGGCGCTGGTGCGGCCCTGCCCGCCTCAGCCAGCCCGTGCCCTGCTGCGGGGTATCGGGGCGTTCTCCTCCGTGCAGTCTTTGGATGCTACTGGTTTGTTTTGAATCTCAGCGCTCTGCTCAAGGAATTCCTTCTTGTTCCCACTGTTATTCTCGCTTAAGAATTCAATGAACAGGGGCCAGATTTAGAAGAGTCGTTTGAAAACGTGCCTAGCGTTGGAACTAGGATGAAAAGTGGAAGGGGTAAGAAGAGCAGGGTGCAAAGCTGGGTGCAAAGCTGGGAAAGCCTCCGAGACCACCGGTCATTAGTGCATCAGAAAGACAATCTCGCCAATAACAGATCTATGAATATTTTAATTGCAAGCTTATGCAGATGCATATCATGTTGCTCGCAATTAAAACAAATGCGTGTATAAAACGGGTAAAAGCCACACTCCAAGCACACACGCAGCTGTGCCCCGTCGGCACAGGGTAGAGCCCATCCGTGCGTCCGGACGGCCACGGCTCCTTCCCCCGCGAAGAGCAGCGGGCACAGAGCTGTGGCCCCGTTCCGGACACCCCCACACCCGGAGCTCTGCGGCCGCTGCCCGCCCGGGGCTCTGCTCAGGGCCGGCAGAGGGTTTGTTTTCTCCGCATCTTTCCGCTAGCGCTGCGGCTCTGCCAGCCAGTCCCAGGCACTTTTATAGAAGTGGAGACCATGTTTTCCCCTCCCCCTTGCGAGTACGGTATTTTCATATTTCAAGTGTTATCATAAGACTTTTTAAAACGGGGGGAAAGGAGGAAAAAAAAAAAAAAAAAGGAAGGGGGGGGGGGACACCGTGGCTCGGTGGCTGGAGGCGGTGCTGAAATTACCGGCTTTGAAGAACCTGTCTGCAAAGTTTCGTCCAATCGTTTTAGGCTTTCCGCTTATTCCCTGTTGTAACTAAATACTGCTGTAAGAACAGCTGAAGTCCTTTGTTGGAAATGTGTGATCGCAGTCTCTACAGATCTGGCTACGTTGGTTCTCTCTTGAACTTGCAATCTCCAGATTCCTTTTATTTTCCCAATTTGCGGGCTAATGGCAGTCAGTTGGCGGCTCTGCCCACCATTTCCTACCCCCGGAGCTCGATCCCGTGGACGTGCCCCAGTCCGTGCGCAGCCCAGCCGCAGGGCCACGCGTTCGGCGGCGCGGCGCAGCCGTACCTCCCCGGCTCCGTTCCAATCAGCATCAGCTCCAACAGCAACAAAGAGTGCCTGGAAGAAAACAATAAATATTACGCCCACGATGCGAGCTCCAAACAAGAGGAAAGATGCAGGCAGAGGCAATCTTTCGCAAATGACCCAACTATTACTCACGCAGCCAACTTAAAGCCCGCAAAGTATGACCACTCGAGCCTGCCGAGAAGCTTGCACGGCTCGGCAGCTCTTTTTGAAGTGAATTCCTGCACTTCCAGCCTAAAGGAGGACATCAAGAATTCGGTCAACTTGAACCTGACAGTTCAGCCCGCAGCAGTCCAGTCATGCCTCAGACCTTCAGTGCAGGATGGTATGCCTTAAATCTCTCGCTTTAGTTCGAGGCGACCTAGCGCTTCGTGCTTTCTAAGAGATGTCTGTAATTGTTTGTTCCCCCCTCCCCCCCCAACCCCCCCCACCCCCGTAACCCGTTCGGAATGGTGATAGCTTAACCCGACTGGGGGGTAGATAAAATCGTGCTGTCAGAAGTGCTTTGCCGACCTAGCGTTGCCCCTTTGCCTCGCGGGTTTGTGTGTATTCTCTATAACCCACAGCCGTGCCCCGCTAAATTATCAACGTGTTTGTTGTAGGTTTGCCTTGGTGCCCCACCCAGGGGAGATCGAGAAAGAAACGGAAACCTTACACGAAACAACAAATTGCCGAATTGGAAAACGAGTTTCTCCTCAATGAGTTTATTAACCGACAGAAGAGGAAAGAACTATCAAACAGACTGAATTTAAGCGATCAGCAAGTTAAAATCTGGTTTCAGAACCGACGAATGAAAAAGAAAAGAGTGGTAATGCGCGAGCAGGCGCTTTCTATGTACTAGCGCGGCGTCCACCCGTTCCTGCATGAACTTATGTTCGCCCCATAGAGTAGCGTGTGGTCGCGGCTGCAAGGCGGGAGCTGAGTGGTTTTTCCCATTTAAGCCAAATTCTCGAAACACGTAGGATCCCCGGGTACATCGGCAACCGCTGAGCTCTTAGGCAGAACGAAGAAGACGAGCCAGCCCAGCACTGAAACCCGTATTATCAGCTTTTCCCCCTTTCTTTCTCCTTTTATATAGATTTTCTCCTGCTTCTAACCCTCTCTTTCCCTGGAGAATGTGCTGTGCTAAACTAAAATCGATGCCTTTTAACTGTATGTAAACACCATTTTGCAGAAATAATAATAATAATAAAAGAATAATGCCTAGTAAAGACGTCAGCTCTGTAAATGCCGGCTGGTCCCTTCATGTGTTCCCCGCTTCTGAAAGCAAGCATGCGGCGCTCGCATGTTTTGCGGTTTGGAATAACCTGTTGGAGCACGGATCGCAGAAAGCGGTTACCAAATAAACCTTTTTAGTTTTGATTCGTTCTTTTTTTCCCAGCCCCGCTCGCATCCAGCCGCGGCCCGGCGGTGAGGGCACGTGACACTCGCACAAGGCCCGCGCGTAACCCGCGCACCGACTCCGCTCCCGCCGGCACCGCCGCTCGGCGCCCCGCGCTGCCGCCGCCCACCCCGACGGCTCGGCCCCGACGGCTGCGGTGGGACGGGAAGACTTGGGGTCGCCGCTCCCCGCGGGGCCGGGGAGAAGTCCTGCCCGCCGAGCCCTCCCGCTGCCAGCTCGGCCCCGGAGCGTCGGGACAGGGTGACCGCGACCTCCTCGGCCCGGTCGCATGCGTCTCTCGCCGGTGGCCGCCCCAGGTGGCCGGGCCTGGCCCTGCCCTTCCTCCGCCGCTGACTTTGGCCTTGTCCAAGCGCGGCCCCAAACAAACGGGAGGGGGGGGGGGGGGGAGCGGGCGGTGCCGCTGGGGCCGCGGCTGGGGGCGGCCGGGCCGCGCAGGGCCCCTCTCACCCCGAGGTACTGCGAGAGCAGGAGAGGGGCGAGCAGGGAGGTTTGGTTATTTTCTGAGACTGTCCCCATGGCCGTTTCCGCAGAGGTTTTTATGAGGGAAAGGGGGGACACTTTCTCTGTTGGTTTGGGGTTTTTTTTTTGTTTGTTTTTGTTTTTGTTTGTTTTTGTTTTTGTCCAGTTATAAACCTCAGAGGAGAAACTCGACCAGAGGGACTGGGAGAGGCACCCACGCCGACCGAGCGTAGCTTTAGGACGAGAATGAAATCGATTTTCCCCGCATCCCTCTGCCCAGTGCTGTGCTGCAGCTCTCTGGCACACGGCCCCGTGCTACCGCAGGGCCACGAGTGCGGGAATGCCCCGGCTGAGACTGCGGAGCTGAAAAATATCTCACGGAAATACAGCTCCGGATTAAAACGCCGTTTGGCTGCCATTTCCACGCATATCTGTTTCTAATGAAGAGGCGTTTCCACACGCGAAACCTTGGGCTGCCTCTCCCAGTAGTCATAATAATTACGCTGGCGGAGCCTGCGCTATTTTCTAGTGTATAAAGCGAGCTCAAATGGGGTTGTTTGGAGCTTACGCAACAAGGCTACACAATCACAAGGCGCGGCACAAAGAAGCCATGTATTTATCGGGCCCGTTGCTTTCCTGGAGGCAATAAACTCATTATTTCATAAAGGAGACATATCCGAGCTGAGGGCAGCGCCGCAGCCATCTTTCGAGAGCTTCCCGCAGCCCCAGAATACCGCCCGGGTGTGTCGGAAGGCAGAAGGAGACGCAGCCCGACCTGGAGGCGCCATTCTCGCCTCCCAGAGGGGTCAGAGCCCACCTCGCTGCGGGCAGAGCTTAGCGGGGCCGGAGGGCAGCCCTGCCCTCGTCCTTGGGAACCCTCGGGGCGCACAGCCCCGACGCACTGCGGGCTGTGCGAGGCTCTTCCCTCGGCAGCGATCCTCTAATTAAGAAAACTGGAAGCAGCCCCAACGATGCGAGCCGGGAGAAAGGCGAAAAACAGATAAAGAGCTCTTTTTTATTCCTTCTGGAATACTGTTCAGGCCCTTGAGAAACGGAGTCTTCGCGCCGCCCTTCTTTTTTCTAACCCACTTCGGTACAACCGTAGCCTTTACCCCATTTGTGATGTGAAAGCCGAAGAGGACTGGGATGGAAAGATGGGAAGTGCAATGGACTATTCATTAAACGCATCCGATCCACGACGACAGCTGAATGCATACTACCAGTCAGAGCCGCCCTCGGAAGGAGAAATAGGTTATAAAGCAGAGAGCTGGGGTCTGAAAGGCGACGTGCTGCAGAACTCCGTGCATTACGTGTGTCTGTGCGTGCTTTGCAACATATCTGAGCATCAGCGGACACACGCAGAGAGCACGCATCTGCGGGACAAAATGGTGCACACAGACGTGCGCACACGGCAGGTTCCGGCTGCTCATCCGAAGCTGCGGGCGACGACAGTCGTTGGGGACACTGGGGGAGGCACTCGCACACACGCAGGCACACGCACACACAGACACGCACGCACACACAAGTGTGGCAGGGCACGCACCCGCCCAGTGCGCGCACCCTGGGCACATGCGAGCACACGCGTGCCCGCTCGCGGGCGCGGCCCCGGGGGTGAGTGCGGGAGCTGCGGCGCATACCCTCGACCCTGGGTTGGGCGGTGTGGGTGCCGCAGCCGCACCCCTGAGCTGTGCCGCCGTCCAGGGTGGCGGTGGGCACCCCTCGGCTGCCCCCTTGCCCACTTCCCCCCGTAGCGGGCGGCGGTGCCTTTATTGAATCCGACATCACCATCTCTGCATTCCGACCGCAGCCCCGACGAGATAAAGCCCTTCCGAGGGGGGCTGCGCTTTTGATAAGGCTGCGAACGCAACTCGGCTCTTTGGAAATGGCTCTGGACGCCTTTGTGCTTCCTAAAAGAGCATAAATAATTAAAGTTTGGCAGGGAGGAAAAGCTTTCTTGCAGAACTGTAGTGGCAATAAATGAAATGACTCAGAATCTCTTCTCCAGTCGGTTTTTACGAGAGCTGCCAGACAGTGTCTGTTCACGTTCTCCAGATACTAGGGGCGCCATAACAAAGTTAAGGTCAAGTTAGTGTCTTATCTTGGGTGGCACGGAGCGCCGCATCTCCGCCAGCCGTGCCCGCACCTCCGCACCCGCACAGTCCGCGGGGCGCCCGCACAGCCAAGGAGAGCTTTTGGAAATGCCACTCGGAGCAGAACCCTTGGTGATCCCACACAACGGTTGCAGATGTTTCAAGACGCCTAACGGTAAAGTATGCGCCCGGCTGTGGAAGCGATGAGCGTTTGTGTTGCGACGCTATGCAGTGGGAGAGAGGCAAACAACGGGGGGATGCGGTGCTCGGAGCTGGGCTGACCGACCCCGGGGTGGTGGCTCCGGTGAGTGGGGACCCCCCGGCTCTGCCCTGTTGCGGAGGGGCTTCTGCTGCGATACTGGGCTCCCGCTCACGAATCGGATCGGTTTTTAAGGGACTGTTTCCTACAAGGTCTGTTTTCGTATTAACAAATCGTCGCCATGTCTTTGAACTTGAATTAGTTGAAACCGGTTGGCTCCTGCGCCAACATTTAATTGATGCTGGGGCTCGCTGCATCGAAAGCAAGGTGCGGGGTTCTGTATGAGGCGCAATTTGTTGTCTGAGCGGTGAAGAAAACGACCTTTCTGAGGGTCCCAGAGCCAGCCCCGCTGTGAGCCCGGTCTCAGCCCTGGGGCACGACCCAGAGGGTCCCTGCCCGGCGCTGCGGTGAGGGACGTAGGAGCCATTTTAGCTTCGCAGGCATCGTTTGTGGGAGGTGGTTCGTGTGTCGTGGCAAAATCGAGAAGACTTGAACGTTCCTGGTAAAGAGAGGAAATGGTGGCTTTATATCTTGGTTTCTGGTGATAACCGGTGATAGTGAGAGGCTCTCTGCTGGCAGCCATTTGTGGCGTGTGAGGTGGTGTGAAAGCGAGGAGTCAGGGCAATGTATGAGGGAGAAAAACAGAGAGGGGGGAAAAAAAAAAAAAAAAAAAAAAAAAAAAAAAAAAAAAGGATGAGTTCCATCTGATCAGCCGGATTCGGCTCCCTCGGTTTCGGAAGGGCCGAGAGCTGTGCTGCAGAAACCCCTGAAATAGCCCTCGCCCGTTTTGGAGGAACAAGCGCGGAGTGGCCGTGGCGGCGGGCGGGGGCAGGTTGCGGCTCCGGATGCGGGGTCTGGTTGTGGGGCAGGGCTGAAAATCCCCACCAGGACCTGTCTGCAGCGTGGGGATGCGGCTGGCAGAGCCCCTTCCCCTCGGAGCCGCGGGCTTTCTCCGCGTGCCTCGGTGTTGCGGGCCGGTCCCTACATCCCTACCTGGGTGGCGGCCGCCTCTGGAGAGCAACTCGGGGCCTGGGGGCTGCACGGAGCGCCCGGAGGTGTCCGGGTGGCGGGGAGAGACCCTGTCGGGCCTGAGAGCTTGGGCGGATTGCAGGTTGGTTTGGAGAGCGGCATATGGCATATGCTGTGGCTATGCTGCGCGATGACGGAAAAAGGCATTCCCATAGAGAGCTGGCAAACGTTGCTGGAATGAAGAGCTGCTCGAGCACCGGGGGCTGTTGCTGGCGCGTAATGTTTATTCTGTTCCCTTTTTATTCCTTGTGACCCGGTTTGTGTTCATCTATTTAAAATAATGTTTCAAGGAGAAAGAGAAAATGGGTAGAAGGGAGCCCTCGTAGGTAGGGCAGGGCAGGGCAGGGCTGCGGGCGCAGTGCGTGCTGCCTGCTCCCAGCCCCGCTCTTCCCTTCCAATGAAAGCTAACGTTTGGTGGGAGTTGAAGGCACGAACAGAGGTCACTTTGTACGCTGCTCCGCTTCCAAGGAAAGCGTGCTCGAGGCTTCTCCCCCTGCCTCGGCCCTTCTCTTGCCAGAAGAGCCCCGAAGTGTCTCCCCTTCCCGAGACCCGCTGCTGAGAGATGTTCTCTTTGCATCTTTCTCCTTGCAGCTCGCCCACGGCGCCTTTGCACAAGCGCTCGGTGCTCGAGCTCGAGCGAGGGAACACGAGGCGCTCGGGGATCGCAATTTCGGGACGGATTTGGGTGCCAGCCTCGGAGTGCCTGAGCCGGGCGGGCAGATCCGCTCGGACCTCAGAGCGCGTGAATGGGACTCGGCCGCGCCGCGTGAACAGCACCCGGTGGCCGCCACTGACAGAGCCGCTCCCGGCTAAAGAGCAG